AGGACAGGAAATGAAATGTATTGGGTATTACAACTAGGGAAATAGATGACATTCAAAAAACATTTCCTTTTAATTAGTAACAAGCTATAATATTGTAAGCTAGATTTAATTTCACATTTGCACTGAAATCATGTTTTATTGCACTTTGAAATGAATTAGGTATCTATTGAGTGAAAGGACAAAAAATGGTTGACCAAGATTGGTTTGGGAATGAGAGAAAGGATATAGAAGGTAAAAGGAGTGGAAATACCTCCTTTTGTTTTAATATCAATACACTCTCTCTCCTTGAAAATAAGTTGTTGATACACTGAGTTATCTAGACTTTTTCATGAGATGTCAATACCACAGTAACCCCTAAGCTACCTCGCCAGAGCCAACAGACACACACATCTCTCCCACTGCAAACCAAGAAGAACGATGAACCAAACCTTGCATACAAATATTGTTTTTAATCTTCAAAAAGGAAAATTTTACATGCTAGTCATTATTATGACAAGAAATAAATCATGAAGCTGAAACCAGTCTTTTCCAAGCGCAAAAAAAAAAAAAAAAAAAAGCCTCAAGAAGGCGGGCAGTTATGCAGCTCTGTTAACATAACCCACTTCCCTGGCTTTCCCAGCTTTCAGAATCAGAATCTGGTAACCCCCCACCCCTGAGTTTTAAATGTAGGATTACATATAATTTAAGTTTATTCTAGTAGTTAGGGTTTTGAGGAGCAAAGACACGGGCACAAGGGAGACTAATACTTGTTCATTGACAACTGTGTTCTAGGCAGCAGACCAGCTCTATCCCTCAAATAACTTGATTTAATCCTAATCACAACTTCATGATTTAAACCTTATTTGACCCATTTTACAGGCTCCTGAGAATTAGGTACTTGCCCACCACTGTGGTTGGTAACTCTAGGGTACCCAAACATTTGCCATGCTGACCACCATGATCTTATAAAGTAGGTGAGAAATCTATGAAGATGATACACTGGGGCGCCTGGCCGGTTCAGTCGGTAAAGCATGCGACTCTTGATCTCTGGGTCATGAGTTCAAGTCCTACATTGGGTGTAGAGTTTACTTAAATAAATAAAGTCTTAAAACAAAAAAGACAATGCACTGTCAGCATTATATACTGTCACAGGCCTGTTGCTGAACAGTGGAACAAGCACTTGGAAAACAGAAATGTATGAAAATAAGATGCTGACTGTGAGGTGGTGACACAGAAAAGGAAATTAGGAGAATTTAGCATGGTTCAAGCATGGAGGAGGCAGAATGAGCTTGACCTTGGCCTTGAAGAATCAAGAATGGAAAATGGGGAGGCGCCTGACATGAGGCAGCAGCAGGAACAAATCGTTCTCCCTTGTCACAATGCAGGGAGGGACGGAGAAAACATTCAATTCTTCTGGCAGCGAGAAGGAAGAAGAAAAGCCACAGAATCTGCAGGACTTGGGGACCGAGAGGTAACAGGAAATAGTCAACCACCGCTCCAGAGCTTCAAGGTGAGGAGAGTTAAATTTAGAAATGCCATCGTTTGGAGAGGAAGGAGACAGTGTTGAATTTGAGGTGATAACGGGAGAGTGGAAAATGTGTAGGAAATGCGGGGCAGTGGAGAAGAGTCCTACAGGAAAATGAGGCTATAGAAGAATAAGCCAAGAACTGAAATCCAAAGAGCAAAAAGTTGAGAAGTGGGTAAAAGGAAAGAGCCAGAGAAAAGAGCACTGCATGTCCTGCCTCTGAATAACACATGTCAGAAACACTATCATCAGAGTTAAGTATCAAACAAAATAACAGAAGATGCCAGTGCAGTTTCAAGTGAGAACTTGAAGGCAAAAGGCCAAGGGTTAAGGTGGCAAAGAAAGTCGAAACAACAAGAGCCCGCGGCTGATCTGTCTAGAAAATTCGCCTGAGAAGTTTGCATGAAAGAAATAAAATGGTACCAAAGTCAAGCAAAGTATCTGGCTGGATTTTAGAAAAGGGGAGAGAATTAAGACTGTCTGAAGTCCTGGGGTAACAGATTAATCTTTCCTGTTACCTATTCCCTAAACTTGCTGGTTAACTGTGCTGATGTACTTCCTGAGTAGAAAACTTTTCAGAAACAGAAGCAAAGTTGCAGCAGCCTGCAATAGTCATGAGGCTCCAAGCTGATTTCCTGCACACCCACCACAATTCAGAAGTTACCTAGAGCTGGTCCGCTTCTCTCATTAAATCCTCCTGGAGAATGTTTCAACCCCTTCCAGCTTACCACTGTGGCCACTGTCACATCTTTGCCCGGTTCTTGACCAGCCTCCTTCAGTAGCCAGGAACGCAACTGGTTCCCTCCAGTCGGAGCCCTGTCCCGTGACCTTAACCAGGGTGATCTGTACTTCCAGGGTCAAGTCTCTCTCTCTGACTTGGGGTGAGGCTGCTTTCTCACTCATTGCCACTTCTTCTAACACATTATGTGAATATTCTACTCCAAACATAGCTTTTTAAATATATTTTTTCTTTCCTCTCCAGTTTCCACAACCCTTATAGCATTCCTGCCTTAGACTCATGCATTGTTTGTATGGAACTAGGTCACTACTACAAACATTCTTAGATATCTTTTCCCATCTTCCTGTTGGCGAGCCCTCTGAAATAACCAAGCCCCCCGGGGTGGGGCGGGGACCCAAGGTTATTTGCTTCAATTGCTGCCCCTCCTGCCACTCATCCCATCGGGTCGATTTGAAATTATACTGCTAAATTTGTAATTCTAAAACATTTTTTTTTCTTTTTTAGACTTCTGAGTTTACACCTATCTTTTCTGAGAAGTTTTGATAACGACTTTTCTAAAAAATTTCTAATTATGTCCACTGTGTTTTTTAGGCTGTAAGGATGAGTCACTTTTCCCATAGGATGAGTCACATCCATGTCACCAACTAGTAGTCTTTATTGGAAACAATTAAGTCCAGAACAGGAATGCCCTTTTTTCTCCCCCTCTCTCTACATTCTAAGATACAAAATTGTCAGCAAGTCAAAACTGGTACTTATTAGAGGCTCTGTGGTAAATGGAATGAAGCTTTCAGCAAATACGGCTGTGTGTCCTGCCTCTGCATAACACAGATCAGGAACACTATCTTCGGAGTTACATATCAAACCTGGGGTTTTACTGATACTAGGAAAGAGTGACGCTGCCAAACGCTTATCGCTGCTATTGGTAACAGCAAAGAGAATGAAACACATTAAGATAATCCACATACAATAAAGAGACTGGAGAACAAAAAAAGGGGTGAATTTTCTAGGAAAAGTGATAAAATGCTCTCCTACTGCATCTGGAATATGATTTGACTCAATAAAAAAATTTTACTGGTTTAATTTTTCAGGTACACATTTACTATACATAGAACATGGCATTATTCTATTATTTTATGGTTACTGAGTGCCGTCTCCTTGATGTTAAAACTCACCTTACATGATTCAAAACTAGCCGAGGAACTATTTGTTTTTTGAAATCCTCTCTCCTTTCTCTTATACCTCAAGAACTTGAGAGTTAGCTTCCTTCTTTCGTTTCCTACAGTTATATTTTTAGCTTCTTAGACTTCACGGCGCTCTATCTACCTGTAATTATGCTGCAAAAGCATAAGACGACGCCGGTCAAGACCAGCAGCAGACAAGACAGCAGAGGAACTATTTGTGGCCTTGAACAGCTGCAAGAGGGCAGGGCGCAGCTGGACAAGTTCCCTCTGCCTCTGGCCTCGCCTGACAAACCCTGAGAGCTAGACTTGCTCTCGGCGCAGTCCCTAGCACCAGACTGCCCTGAAAGCAAAGGGCTGCGGGCAAAGTCTAAGAAGGGCTGGTCTAAAGGGGAACCCAGGAAAGGCACAGGTAGGGTGCTAAGAGCGGTGGCCTTAGGAGAACTCTCCAGACCCTAAAGAATACCACCCACCATCCCACCCTTCTCTCTAAAAACAAAACAAAGCAAAACCACCGCCACCTCCTTATGGAAGGCCAGATGTTACTTTTAGTTCCAGTTTGGAAATACTGCCCGAGCTCTGAAACATTCTTCTTAAAATAATAAGTAATGAATCTGTATTTTTACCCATGACAGCAGAAATGAGATGCCATTAATCAGATGTTGAGAAATGGCAATATTTTTCAGGGACTAGGAAACATTCTTGAGTGGACATTTTCTTCCACAGTTATGTAAAACTCCTTTTTTGTAAGGGGCCATTACTGTCTTTGGATACATAAAAGATGTTGTTGTATGTGGAGGCTTTTATAGCTCAGAGTGATTAGTCTTCACACAACGATCCCTGCACTGTGCAGTGCTTCTGGCTCCTTGATTTAAATTAGTGCTTTCTTAGTTAGTGAGTTAACATCATTTGCAAAGTAACGTATTTATATTCTGTTCTTCAACAACATTAGCATAGAATACATATTTACTTTGGAACTTTATGCACACGCACACACTTCTTCACAAGACTCAGAAAGGGTGGCAGTGAGAAAAGAAATGGGAATTTTGGAAATAAGAATTCCCCAAGAGGAGGGTGAACAACCCAGACCACAAAGCTGTAGGTGCTAGTGAAGACACACTATTATTTCCTGGCTAACATTAAGAGTCTTACACACGTTTAAGATATAGTTAGATGGTAACTACCTTTCCGAAAAACAGTAACAGCTAAAGTTTCTCTTTTTATAGGATAGACTGGACCCCCAGAGGGGCTACCGCAAAAAAAAAAAAAAAAAAAAAAAAAAGCAGTCCTAAAAAGGATCCAGCCATAAGCTTTGCAAAAATTCTCATTTTACTTCTCATGCCAATAAAGTCAAATTCTACTGAGAAAATGTTCCAGTTTATTTTGTTATACAGGCATTCTGCTAATGTTAATGCTATGTCCGAGGACTTAAAACTTGGAAACTGTCATTGTGTCGGTAATGAGAGTCCACACTTGTACTAAACGTCTCTTGTAAGACACTTGATATCCTTTCAGAGTATGATAAAGGATAAAAGAACTATCTATCAGCTGAAAACGACCAAGAAGAAAAGCTACTTACGGCTGACACAGCTTCACCAGGTCCTGATCTGTGGTGTTGGGAGGCAGTCCCCGGATATAGAGGTTGGTTTTGCTCAGCTGGTCCCATCCTGAATTGCTACTGCTACTGCTGTTGTTATTACTGCTGGTGGTGCTGGGGCTGGGAGGGGCCATGGGGTGGGCCGGGACCAGAGACTGCTGGGAGACAAAGACAGGGAGCATTAGAACACCGGCGGTAGGCTGCGGAGCACCATTCACAGGCTGTGTGATCTCCACCACACAACAGAAACACAGATCCCCTTAAGCGACGTTCACATATACATTTTTTTTTAAAGATTTTATTTATTTATTTGACAGAGAGAGAGAGAGAGAGAGAGCACAAGTAGGCAGAGAGGCAGGCAGGGGGAAAGGGAGAAGGGAGCCCGACATGGGGCTCGATCCCAGGACCCTGGGATCATGACCTGAGCTGAAGGCAGACGCTTAACTGACTGAGCCACCCAGGCGTCCCATATATACATTTTCATTTACACCTTAAAAAAGACCTGCTCATTCTACAGAAAAAGCCCTCTCCTTCAACATGCAATTAATAATGGGATTTTATTCAGTAAAGTATCCTCTATGTGCACCTTAAATAGGGCTAAATTTATGTGAGATTAATGTATTCACACCTCTTAAGGACACATCTACTGAGACTCAAAATTAACTTGCAAGAAGTTAAGTGATGATATCATTTTATGATACAGTCATTTAGAAATCACTAGACTTTTGAAAAGGTTTTCAAATGCTGAATAACATTTGACTGAAAGTTGCTGATCATTTTATTGAGACTCTTGGGGGGAAAAATAAGATGATTCTTCGAGTGTAACAAAGTTTGAGTTCCAGCACAATGCTCAAATAAGGCAGACTTCACCTAGTTCTAAGTCTGGCCCATGGCTCCAATGAGACATCTGGATAAGATTCACGGGCATGCTGCCTTTTGCGCTGGCCAACCTTGTGAAATTTAACCCCTGTGAGAACGGTGTGGGAGTTGGAAACCTTCCCAGGCCTTGCAGCAAGGAACGTAACTTTTCTAAAGCCTAAACCTAGGGCTCAGTGTGGTTTCGCAGTCAGCAGCCACCTAGGAAGAATGTCTGAAATTGTACTCACACCAGATAATTCTCTGTTAACCGATCGAAAGAAACCACAGTTCTGTGCCCTATGCCACACACATGACTTTTGAGGAAGTTAAATGGCTCGGTCTGAGATGGAAGTGAGTACACCCTGAAGTGCCCTCAAAGCAAATGCTCAGCAGTTTCATACCGGGACAGGAATTTTTTTCACCTCGCATCTAAATAATAAATACGCTAACCCAAGGATTTCACTTAAATTAAGTAACAGTTTGAAAATAAAGTATAAAATTAGTCCCTAGACATATAATTTTTTTTTCAAATAATACAGCTTGATTTTCACAACCACAAACAAAACTATTAGACACATCTAAGACACAGTTCAATTCCACTTTGGAAAGTTCAAAAAGCAGAAGACCCCTTGTACTAAATGTAACCCTGCCTACCTTGCCAGCAATCTCAACTATTCACTATGGATATCTGACTCTGCACCCAGGTTCTGCCATGACCATCCTAACTCCACAGTATCCCCAACCACATTGGGATCCCCACTAATCTACACATGTAACCATTACTTCTTTTCTGTACTATATATATATATATATATATTATATATATATATAGTTTCTGTACTATATATATATATATATATATTATTTTTTTTTTTTTAGGTAGCACCGTTCACAGGCTGTACGATCTCCACCATAGAATAGAAATACAGATGCCCTTAAGGGCCCATCGTGGGGCTCAAACTCACAACCCTGAGATCAAGACCTGAGCTGAGACCCAAGAGCTGAATGCTCAATCGACTGAGCCACGGAGGCGCCCCTACTATGTATTTTTTTCTTCTCACTGCCCAGGGTCCTTGCTAAGATTATTGAGTCCAAACACCATTTTATCTCAAGTGATCCTCTCTTAGAAGGAGAGTAGCAGGAAGGGTTAACAATAGTCAATGTATAAATGAAGACTGAAATTGAACTGGAAATATCCATATTGCTTAATCCAAGAAAAAACTTACCCGAGATCATATCCTATCAAATCTATTTGAGTTATGCCCTTAATAAGCAGTTGAACTCATATCCTTTGGTCTCATCTCTGGTTTTTCTCTAGGGAATAAAGACTCTGCTTTCTAGAAGTAAAAGGAAGAGTAAGCATTGTTCCTTGCTTTGCCGCAGGTGGCACCTCAGATTCCCCAGCCATACCACACAAAGGAAGGTCTGTGTTCCTTCTTCAGAATCACTCAATACAACTTGTGCTAGTTGCTCCTTGCAATTAGCCAGGCATCCCGTTTGTCATTTCAGTTTAGAACGAGGTGCTGGAAAGTAACACACACATCTTGCCCCCATCCCAAGCCTTTGATTTACACAAAGAACTTATATCTAGGCAAGGCTGAATTTTTTCTTAAATCGTCTTTGATTAATGTCCAAGAACCTGTCTTTGTCACAAACCACAGTTCTTCATAGTATGTTCAGTGCAGCTGTTGGGGGATGGAACGGGGTCACCTCCAGGGATAAGCCCTGGAGAAGCCTGAAAGAAGCCATGGACCCGCTTCATCCCCACCTCTCAGTAGCATTAGACCAACGGAAGCAAATGAACCATCAGTTGGTTTAAAGACTGCATTCCAAGTCTGCATCAGCTCTAACCTCTTCTCCGGGGTGCCAGGTGTGGACTTGCAGGATTAAAAGAAACATTTGGGGGTATGATTTACTGAGAGATTATTTGGACATGAAAAGAGTAGGTTTTTATTTATGTATTTATTTTTGGCAAAAGCAGAACCATGATTTACATCTCAGAATTTACATAGCTGATTTAATGTATCTTTGACAGGTCTCTATATTTATTACAGTAATAATTTCTCACTCTGGGAAGTAGGTATGGAGCATATACAGCCTGCCCCTGCTTCCCCTCTACTCTGCCCTATGGTGGAAAAAAGTTTCCCAACATTCTGATCCCAGGTGGGAGACCGGGCTTTCTGAATGTGCCCTGTGGAGGATGACTGGCCTCTGGTGAATTCAATACAGAACAAGTTCAAATTAAAATGTTATCCTAATATTAACTATTTCTCAGAACTAGCTGAAGACAGCTTATTCTAGGTTGCCAATTTTCTATTTTCTGCTGTAGAAAATTTTAGATCAAAGATGAGGTTTGTAAAACTCACTGAAATTAACAACTTAAATCCTAATAAAGATTGGACACATGTTTAAAGAAGAAAATTCAAACATAATTAAGCTGTTTATTTCTAAATGTTCAGAATGGGTCGATGATAACTACAATAATTTGAGCACTACTGAGATTGAGTACCATTACTCATGTACTACATGTTTAATATATGCCACCAGGCCAAGTGCTTTATGTGCATTATCTTCTCTAATCCAATGAGGCAGATACATCTTTGTTTTCCCATTTTGCAGATTAGGAAACTGAGTCTCAATAGAGGTTCAGTAATATGCCACAGTCACACGATCACACGTTAAAGATGGCAGGGCTGGAATCTGAACCCAGGTCTGTTGGACAACAAGGTCAGAGCCCTCAAACAGTACTCTACATGGTACATCAGAACCGTCCATATCCTAAATCTGCTATTTGTATTATTTCATTTAGCTGTGCCCATCCTTCCTGCAATCTAAATATTAAATTCAAGGTTCTCTGAAATGGGACACTTAATACCATTGGTGGCTTTGTGTGTGTGTGTGTGCATTTTTTTTTTTTTTTGAGAAAGACAAAGGTACCCTTAGGTTAACTTAATGAGTGAGCACACAGTCAGCTTGTGTGTGTGTGTGTGTGTGTGTGTGTGTGTGTGTGTTTAACAAAGTCAGCTTTTAAAAGATTAGTTTTTAAAATTCTACCTTATATTTTTATTAACAAAAGAATTCGGCAAACAAATTTTGATAGCAACAGCACATTATGACTGAATACCAGAGTCAGCATTTTAGAACAGCAAGACTTAACCAGTGAACACTTAAAATCTTATTCCCAGATTAAAATGCAATTGAAATGTAAACACTGACAAATCTGTAACTCCAACTTCACAGCTCTGACCAGTTCAAAACAATAACACTCTGTAGCTCTGTGCTCAACAGCACAAAGGGTAAACTTTAAAAAATTAAAAAAAAAAGCTTACCAAGAGATAATATTTTACCAAACTCCATTTTCATCACTGGTTGTCCTTTTTATATATTGCCTCTCAAAACCCCTAAAGCTTGCCTAGAGTTTGAAAAGGACTCCTGTCTCGTTCCCATTCCTTGTCCCCTTAGATGAAGTATGTAGCTAATTCACACAAATTCAACCTAATTAAGGACCTTGGTGGGGGGGCGGGGCACCTGGTGGCTCAGCTGGTTAAGCGTCTGCCTTTGGCTCAGGTCATGATCTCAGGGTCCTGGATCGAGCCCCGCGTCGGGCTCCCTGCTCAGCGGGGAGTCTGCTTCTCCCTGTCCCTCTGTCTGCTGCTCCCCCTGCTTGAGCTCTCTCACTCTGACAAATAAATAAAAATCTTAAAAAAAAAAAAAAAAAAAGGACCTCGGTGACTGGCTGACCCCAGGTGAGCGCTGACCCACCCTACAAGAGCCTAGCAGTCTACCTCAGCGTCCTCTGGCCTAATTTCACCGTTTCAGATCATGTAAGCAAGCTACCCATCAAGCTCTCTATCCAAGGGCAGGGAAAACAAACTACTTCAGCTTTCACAAATAACAGTACCTGGGCTCAATTTGCACAAAACTGATAGAAACTGATAGAAAAACAAAGTTGGTGGCGAATAAATGGAATAGTTGTACTTGCACACCCTCTCTGCACCCCCTTCAGGAGTGGGTGTGGGCACCAGCAGGAAGAGTGCTTGTCAGCAGTCAGGGAGGACTTCCTGTGTGGACAGCCCTGAGGCCTCTATCCCTCCAGGAAGGCCCACAGGCCTCCTATATTCAGACAGGATGATCAACAACAGGCACACGGCAACTACACACGCAGCAGACCTATTTCCCTTTCCATCACATCAAACCCCCTCAGACGCCACACTAAGTAGGCTCTTGTATATAAATACAAGTCTAAAGGTTGTTTACAAAAAAGGCAAAACTAACCATTGGTGAACTAAAATATATTAGT